TATATATATATATATATATATATATATTAAAAGACTTTAAAAAAACAAGTTTATTTTATTAAAATTTAACTTTTATTTTTTAAAATATTATATTATTTATAATATAGTATAATATATATGCACTAAAAGTGTAAAATGTTAGTAGGGTTGTCTCCACTGTTTCCTATATAGATCTGTCGGAATTGTGTTAATATTGTTGGATATGGTAGGTGTCTCTGTGAGTGACTAGTAGAGTAAGTTATATTAATATGTTACTAATTAATGATAATATAAAATTATAAAACATTAACAATTTTAACTTATTTAATTATCGGATCATCAAATTTGTAAAAAAAACAAATTCATGATCTAAACTAATTAAAGAGAAACTTATTTTGTTTGAATTTAATTTTATCTAATTAAGTGAAAAATTAGAACTAATTTGATTAGTTTGGTTTGAATAATCCATAAACATTCTTACTAATTACATGTTTAACAAATTTTTCATTCAAAGTCATAGAATTAAAGGCTATTTGATGTCTTCTTTATAGTCAGAGTAACAAACAAGCATGTGTTGTTAGATAATAATTAAATTTTGTAATGACAGGATGAGTTATTAAAAGAAAAAGAAAGCAGTGTAACTTATTGTTGATTAACAACCTTTTCTCATTCAAAGTCCACACAACTCTTTGGTGTCTTTATCAATATATAGACTGTCAAAATGTGGATTTTGCCCACGAGTTGGCCTTACAATGTGCTTGCTTCTCATTACATCTAGATGTCTACTTGCAAGTACTACTTCTTATGGTGACTATATTCAATATCCTTCTCGCAAATCAATCGTGTAGTATATTAGCTATTCACAACAGTCATTACGACTTGCCTTTTTTTTAATCTCATTTGGTTAGCATGTTGACTTTGACTAATTCCTCTTTGACCAAATGACTATCTTTATTATTCATTAACTAATCCTCCTCTTTGTTGTTTAATAATATAGAGAGAATAACTTTTATATGCACATAGTAGTGATGGAAGTTGCGGAGCAATGAAGAGAAATGACAAATGATGATGATCAATCCTAAACCAGCGTGGTTAGGATAATTGAAGATGATCATGTGTTTTTAGTAGTAATCGAGGAGGTTGTTAAATAAAAAATAACTATGAATTTTTCTTCCCTAAAACTCATTTTTCGAAACAAAATCATGTTTAGCGACTTAAAAGATAAATTTAGAAGTTGGCTTTCAAGTTAAGAAATGGTGATATAAAAAATTAAAATAAGCCCTAAAGGTTTAAAGATACATGAAAATGAAGCTTTATGATTGTGCAATCTAAATCTTTTGAAATGTAAAATTGGTAGATTATATAATATTGTGAATATAATCTCTTCGGGATAAATGATCACATGTATAAAAGTTTGTTGGTTCAAACTTCCACGTGATGTTATAACGCATAAAAGAAATGTATTGAAATAGATACAAGTACCATAAATCATTTGCAAGAGAACAAAAAATGCAACTACCGTTTTATAATTACAAAATATAAAATTACAATTAAACTTTGTAATTACGACTTATCACCCTTAGAAACTAATTTATATTTTAATAAATACAAATTACAAGCTAATTAATATATAGACAAAAACAAAAGTCATATATATAGACCAAAACAAAGACATTCCTTAGTTTCTTTGCAGCCTATATCTCTACCAACTTCTTTTAGCTCTTCAAACCAGATTTCAAACAACCATGGTTGCTCCAAAATGAAGTGGACATTGATGTAACTTGAGGAGCTTTATCTTCGGTAGACAAGAAGTTTCATGCATGCTGAACACAACTTTCAATCTGTTTTTTTTTTTTTTTCAGAAAAAAATTGTCATATTAACTATGTCATAGAATAACGCAGTTCTTAATTCCTGTGCAAGGGAACACCAGCAACAAAATAGCCAATGTAAGCAATCTGTCACTTTTTGCTTCCCAGAATGTTATTTGGTGGCTAGTTAAATCTTTCCCTCATATGAATCCTCAATAGCCACCATAGAGTAAACCAAAAAGACAAGACTATACCCATCTGCCCCAAAACTCTTCTCAAAGGCTCATCATAATAATTAGAGCAGGCAGCTATATATACCGAAGATCCAAAAAGAAGCCACATAGAAGAGGATCCAATCTGCAAAGTGGCCATGCAATTTACAAAAATTAATGAAGTCTCTCCATATTCCTTCCAAAGACACAACAACTACAAAAGAGAGCAAGATATGCCACAGAAAGGTTGTCCCAAAATCAAATAAGTACAAACCACTTTAACTTGAATTCCACACCATGACAATTTTGTAGTAACTTTTTTTTTTCCCTTCATTTATATACCCCGTAATATTTTCTCCAAGTTATTGGGCTGTGATAAAAAAGTTACTATAATTTTCAAGTTTTTATCTTCAGTTTATTTTATGCAATTTTTTATTTTTATACAATGCAGTGTAAAAATATTGCTTATTCTCTTTAATGACGTATTTATTGATTTATCGGTTAATGACATATTTAGTTGTTTCTATAGTTTATCATTTTACATATTTTATTAATTTCTTCTCCTAAACTATGATAAAAACAAATTACATAATGAATACTACCAAAATGAGAACTTAATAACACTATTTAAGATTATAAGTGAAAAAAAAAAATAGGAGGAAAATTTAAGTACTTAAGTTTAAGATATATTAACAATTTTTTTTTTTTTAAATAGTTGGTCAATCTAAATTGGTATAAATCTAAAAATTATATCATATATGGGTTGATTCATATTCGAAATAAAAAAGAACACCAATTATTTTTATTTTTATTTTTACACAACAACCAATTAATTGAACTAGAAGTAATTTAATTAATTAATTTCTATATATTAAATACAAACAGTTATTTTACACACAAAAAATTAGATATTTTTTTAACAAAAATATCTTTAACCATTTTATTTAATAAAATGGTATTAAGTATTCTTTTAACATCTTATCGTTTTTTTTTTATTATATTTAAAGATACGTTTTCCAAGTGAAACGAATTTTCAGATATTGTTTTTAAACATGTCGTATAACATAAATATATATACACTTATTTTTATATAATACATGTATCCTTATTTAATGACACTTGTATTCAAACCAAATGGAATCTTCATAGATAGTAAATTTTTTTCCGAGTATTTAATGTAACATGCATATCCAATATTGAAACTTTCATTTACTAATATAAATTTTCACAGCCAAATACAGAAAATAAAATTTGAAAATACTGATAACATAATTTCTTATAAACTAAAATATATTTTTAATATTTTAAATATAAAATAAATTTATTTTAAATTTTTTAAATTTAAAATTAATATTTTTGTCTATGTAATTTTAAAAAAAAGATTGTCAATTTGTTCAAATAAATAAAATCCACTTATTATTGAATCTATATCACAAAACTCACGTCATTTTTAATAAAAATATTCGTGATTAAACTTAATTGATATTATAGAATTATCTCAATTTATCATTAATTCATTATTAGTTATGTTACACAAAATTATGAGGAAATAAAACATGATTTTTTTTTTGTAACAAAATAAAAAATTTTAAAATTACATAATTAAAAAGATTGACTTTAAATTTGATAAACTAAAAGAAATTATCATAAATTTGAGGAACTAAAAACATGTTTAGATTTTATTTATATTACTATCTGACAAAATTATGACATGTTAAATATTAAATTGTTTTATAAATTGTATTTAAAATAATTTATAATTAATTAATAATATAAAATATTTATATTGTTTGAAAATGAAACTCTTTAAAAATAAATATACTCCATCCTTAAAGACTGTGATTTTAATTAGTAAATAATTTGAAAAACATCAAAAAAAAAATTAAGAAGCAAACTACGAATATTACTTAACTAACTAAATTAAACCTCTTTAATTTAAAAATTATATTATAGAATGAAAGAATAAAGACTGATTAATTAAATAAATAATATATATATAAGAGTATAATAATAGTTATAATAATAAGTGAATATAAATATGTTGATAGAATTATAAATAATATTCAAAGTAGTCAATAAAACAATTAAACATGTTTTCCGATATTATAAAATTCACAATATAATATAATGCATTATTAACGTAAATCAATTTTATATTGTTAAATAATGAAAAACAAGTATTGACATGATTTTTAAAAAAATTATTATAAAAGTTAACATGTAATACATAATATTTTGTATAGATTGATAATATAAAACTGTTTTAAACTATATGTACATAGTCTTTATTTTCATATAATCATATTTAAAGTGATTCATTTTTATTAACAATGATTATGAGAATTTTTTTATGAATTATAAATAAACTCTTATATATTAAGTATAAATTATTATTTTATAAGAGAATATTCTTAAAAATCATTATTTAATGAGAGTTTTTAGAAAATTTATGGACTTTTTAATCTAATTCAATTTTATATTCTTTTATAAATTAAATCTTATTATTTTAAAAATAAATTATCAATAAATAAAAATAATTTACATTGTGGTATAAATTATTTATCTTAAATTAATATATAATTTATATAAATTTTAAATTAAATATAATATTATTTGTATACATAATTTATTTATATATAATAAAAATTTATCTATGAATTAGACATATTAAAATACTAATATTTGATGTTTAATTTTTCCAAAGTTAGGATGATTGTTTAGAGTGAGTTGAATTTAGACAAGTTAAGATATTTTTATGGTAATGTGTTAAAAAAGGGGTAGCAAGTGGGAGGTGGCAAGTGGTCTTAATAAAATGCGCGGGATAGTCTAGACTCTAGACTCCATAGAAGGGTGGTTGGTAAGCAAGGAAGAGAGGATTTGGTGAGCATAGTAAAAGTCGTAATAATAAATAAAGTTAAAAAAAATGGAATTGTCGCACAGGGTAGGATCGAAGGAAGGAAGGTTCCTGATGTAACTGTCACGCACTCCCTTTTCCAATGTTCCTACTACATAAGCCACTCCACCCCTCCCGTCAATCTCAATTCTCAATTCTCAATCTCCAACCTTTCTTTCTTTCTTTCATTCCTTACTCACTCACTCACCATAACCTCCATTAAGCAGCAACATGTGTGGCGGTGCCATCATCGCTGACTTCATACCCCGCCGCGGAGGCCGCCGCCTCACCGCCTCCGAGCTCTGGCCAAACTCATTCGCCGCCAAGGACGACATCCATTACGCCAATCCACAATCCTCGACTCCCAAAGGTTAGTTTCCTTCACTCACGTCATTTCCCCTGCATGCGTCTTGATCATATTTTTAACACATAATGTTGAACGGAACAGCGAGGGAGCAAGTGGAGAAGCCAGTGAAGAGGCAGAGGAAGAATCTGTACCGTGGGATCCGCCAGCGTCCCTGGGGCAAATGGGCCGCCGAGATTCGCGATCCAAGAAAAGGGGTTCGTGTCTGGCTCGGTACCTTCAACACCGCCGAAGAAGCTGCAAGGGCCTACGACCGCGAAGCCCGAAAAATCCGCGGCAAAAAGGCCAAGGTCAATTTCCCCAACGAGGAAGACCAATTCTCCATGCAACCCCCTAATCCAACTCCCCCGCTTCCTTTTCACAACCCTCCCCTCTATCACCACCACTACCCTTGTGACCTCAACGATGCCCCCAAAAGCCTCAACTTTGACTTCGGTTACGATCTCAACCACGCTGGGGTATTTCCTTCCAATGCTGACAACGTTGCTGCTTCCGCCGATGAACATTCTGGCCTGGCGTCGGGGTCGGAGGGTGCTTATTCCACCACGGACTTCATGGGCTCCGCTCCGAACGAGAGCGCTTATTTGGGTGGCGCGGCGCTTGCCAAAGAGAAAGAGACGCACGTGATTGGAGGTGAAGAGGAGAAGAACAAAGTGCTGGAGCTTTCTGAGGAGCTGATGGCGTACGAGAATTACATGAAGTTTTATCAGATTCCGTACTATGATGGACAATCCACGCCACCGAGTCATGTTCAGGAAAGCCTTGTCGGGGATCTCTGGAGTTTCGATTAACAAGGAAAGGAATCGTGGATTCTTTTCATGCATGGCTTTGTTTTTCCGTCAATATCAATACTGTCAAAGTTTTTCCCCCTTCTTGTGACTAACATTTCGCATGGATGGACACAATTGTAAATGGGTTGTGCTTCGGTCGTTTCAAATGCTCTCCTCAGTTTCCAATCTCTTTTTTTGGTTTTTGCTATTTTTTTATTAATTTATATTTTTCTAGAATTTATGGTTATCGTCTAGTTTTGTTGAATTTTAATTGTAATTTTTCTTTTGGGTATGTTGAACTGTAACTTGACCGGTAAAGTTAATGGTGTTTGAATTTTGATTACATTTTTAAGTATATTTCGTTCAACTTATGTTATGTAGTCTTCCCTAATTCACGAATGGAGAACAGTCAATAACGTGTTACATACTGCTAAGCATGCATGATTGTTTTTTTTTTCTCAATCATGTTAGTTGTAAGCATGATTGTTTTTTCTTTCAGTGATGTTATTAGGGAAAATTATTCATCAATTTCGCTTATAATTAATAGAATTTTGTAATATGGGAGTAATATTATCAACTGGGTTAAATATTTGATGGACCACTAAAAGGATAGATAGCTTCTCATTCTCTTCTTGTATACAAAGAAGATTCTATTAACATAGATAAAAATTATTTCAATGGTCTCTCCACACGTAGAAGGAATTAATTTCAATAGAAGATATTATTTTTAAAAAAGAATGTTTAATAGATTGTTGATTTATAATGTTATAGTTCTTATTTGGAGGATGTGTGGGCTCTGACTCTGGTACCCAAAATAAAATATGAAAATTATATTTGGAAGTAATTATTTTTGTTACTGCCTCAAGCAAAATATAAAATGAGGAAATTGACCCAATGTGCACATGTTTAAACTCAAATTATTGTTTGAATTAAGATCAGAGCAATGAAGTTTAAGAGTGGTAATTCGTTTAGTGTTGTAACTGTTAATTAAAACATAAAGAAGTTTTTGTTTGGGTGATGAAATGGAAGACATTCTGTGTTAATAAATAAATAAATAAAAAAGTATAAGATTAGGTTGAGGGGATTTTGTTTGTTGCGAATAATAATAAGGTAATGGTTTGGATGATTGAGGCGGTGAGATAGAAAAGCAGTTAATGTGGTCAAAGAATGGAATCCAGTGGCGCAGCTGGTTTGAAGCACGTGAAGGAAATAAAGAAAACAAGGTACGCGGCAGGCAGTGGGCGCCTATGGGTTTAGGTTAAAAAACCTTGTACTTGTGGTTGCTTTTGCTGAGTTGTATTATGATTTCGCATCGTACGAGGTCAGCATGTATTCGTAGTACAAAACCCGTGTTTGTGGGTTGTGGCCACCACACCCTCCTTCACCTTCGCCCTGTCTTTTTTCGTGTCTTCTTAATTCTTCCGGTTTTTACTCAATTATAAAAATATATAAATTGTTAATATTTATATTATTATCTATTATTACATTTATTAATTACTTACCTACTTATTTTTATTCAATCTGACGTATTTATTTTTCCTATTATCTGTTTAATTACATATGCTATCATTAAATATAATCATTATTTAATCGGTTCAATTTAAAAAGTATCTTTAAAATAAAATTTAAATTTGTGATATTATTAATGAAAATTATTGTCTTTAACTCTTTTTTATTAGTTTGGATGAATTACTTATTTATTACTTATATAATGAATGGAGATTTTTTTTGGTGTATTACCAAAACATATATAATAAATTGGACAGAAGAAAAAGTGGTCCATTCTTGTTTAATTTTTTTATTTAGACAAGCTTTTATTTTTTAATTGAAAATGCATCTTTATAACACCTGTCACATTTTAGGTTACGTTTGATATGGTAGAGAGAAAACGAACGAGTAATGAAGATTTTTTTTTTGAAGGGAATGCAAAGTAAGGTTTTTTCTTTTAAATTAATTTTACTTTTTTTTTTAACCCTGTAAACTTTTTTTATAAGTGGGCCTTTTGGTCCTGTGGACATTTTAGGCCTTCGCGCACATGAATTAGGACTTTGGAGGGTGGACTACGTAACGACCTGCCATGGTTCTTATACTCAGTAGAATCGCACAGATGTATATATTAAAACTTGATAATTCATACATACAGGTGTATATATATAATAAAACTATGTTTTTAAGTATAAACTATAATACTATATATGTATAGTTATCCAAAATAATATCACCCTAGTGTCGATCAAGTACAATAACAATTATCCAAGAAGGTAATTTTGACACTACGACAAAATTCCTCATCTCGCAGCGGTCATCACAATTCCAAGCTAGCCCTGACTTGCTCTCATACAAGGTATAATCATTGTAGTTCAACCACATGGAAACAAAAGAATAAGCTAGAGTTCAAAAATTAACCATACAAGCATAAGAATAAATATCTATGCTACTCAACTATCAAACCATCCAATCATGAAGTTAAACACCATACACTCCATCATAACAACATTCATGCAATTAAGCAACACATGAAAGATATCAAATGCATATCTATCATCTAATGCGTCATCACGCATACACATAGGAGATCTCCCTAACAGCAAAGCCATATAAGTGACATACCAATCCTACCGAAACCACTCCAACCATTTTCACGCCCAATGCGCCCGCTTGGTCACAGCTAATCAGGATATAAATCTTTCCTCGGGTTTTCTCGAATGATGTCACTTACATAATTGGAAGTCCGATTCCACCATCAAGTATAACATAGCTGGATACAAGTTTACCACGACCTTGACATGCATTACCAAGTCACTTGTGGAGTTCGCCCACCGACTATCTACAAGGAACCACGCACCTTTCTCAGTAGTTGGTTAAGGGAATAACCCTCGACCTCATACTCCGCTCCAACACTAGCTAAGGACTTAGAGGAGACCCACCCACCAGTGGCCTATCCAAGCACCACTCTCACCCAAAATCAGTGCCCTATCTAAGCACCACTCTCATTTATATTAGTGGCCTATCTAAGCATCACTCTCAAGAGACTCCATGTGAGCACTTCTAGTTCGAAAAACATTTCCCTCTCCTCAAGTCTTAGGCTAAACGCATGCCATAAGGCATCATATGCAATAATGCATCATACATTATACATGGTCAATCCACCATCATGATAAAAATCATCTTCATATGAACATATACATATGCCATATCATATTTAAAACATTCATATATATCATTACCAAACATACATAAACATCATTTCAAATCAATCATTAATAAACATGTTCACGCCTAGCGCAACCTGAGCGCGCCCAGCCTAATCCCAACTCGATAGTCCTAAAACTCCTCCACACCCGACGCGTTCATCTTGCGCTCGGCGTCCTTGAAACAGAGACTCATAAGAGTCTCCACGCTCGGCGCACCCACCCTACGCCCAACATCGTCTACACAAAGACCTCTAGGGGTCTCCACTCTCGGCGCATCGACTCTACGCTTGACGCCATCTTAGTAAAATTCCTCACCCAACCACTATCTGATATCGCACCTAGCGTGGTTCTACTCACGCCCAGCGTGAACTCATCCAGAGACCCCCCATTCGCAATCGCGCCTGGCGCGAATAACCTCGCGTTCGGCGTGATCAAGAAATTGGTGCCTCTGATGAATGCATGCCCGACGCCAAAAACATGTGCCTGGCGTAAATTCATACAATTGCCCCAAAGACCCAGAATTTCGCCTCCAAACCTAAAAATCAGGAAACCATCCACATGCAATCCCAGAAACAAAGTATATAGACTCCATCACAAGAAAACAGACTCCGATTCAACATGAATCCACTAAACGCATCAAAATCACCAAAAATCCCATTTTTCAAACCCCGAAAATGAGCAATTTCTCTAATCCAACCATGGATTCTCAAAATTCATGCCTCAATTGAGTTCTTAAACTCACATGCAACCAAACAACATACATTCTAGCTTCCATCACCTGAAGATTGGCTCAAAATGGCCAAGAACTGAGAAGAAGAAGAATTTCCCTCAAAGCTCGTCCCACGAACTTCAATCCTCCAAAAACATGTTTCCTAGCCTGAAATCCAAGAAAAGACAGAAGGAGTTAGTGATCTATAGGAGAAGAAGAATCAAACAGAGAAATTTGGGAGAGAAAGGAACTCACGAACCAAAGTCCTTCTCTCTAAAACTTCTCTCTAAGATTTTCTTTGAGAATAAGCTTATGAGGCCCCTTCTCAGATAAAACCTTATATACTCTTCTCTCTAGCCTCAACTAAACCTCTTAATTAACTTACTACATTACAAACTGGACCCATTTGAGAAGTTTACTCCCAAGTTCTGAAAGATATGATGAAATTAAAATATTTCATTATATGTTGATTATTTTTAAAAAAATTATGATGTATTTTATCCTATAAAATAGTCAATTTTTTTTAAAAAATAATAAAGTTATTTTGAAACTATTTTTTTTTGAAGCAAGAAACTATTTATTTATGTAAGACTTCTTTTATAAGTATCATTATGCGTTATAGAGACACGTGAAAAAAAATTATATAATTTTTTTTATATAATTATTATGTCATAAGTCGTATAAGAGTCGTTACAACTAATAGTGACATCACTAAAATTGTTATTGATTGCAATGACTTGTAAAATGGTGTCATGCATAAATTCTTTTTTTAAAATTGTTACAAACTATAATAACTTAATATTTTTTTTAATATTTTTTGTTATTATGGTCCATGGTGCCATTTTTATTTATTTCATTTTTTATGAAAAAAAATAATATTATTTACGAGTGATTTTTTTTTAAATGTTGTATTTTTTTCATTTAGTTAATTTTATTTTTCTAAATGTCTAATATTTTTTTAAAAAAATAAGTGATTTTATTTTAAAATGTTTGATATATTTATTAAACAAAACTTGCATATTATTATTTATTTTTTAAATAAACTATCTTTATTTATCAGTTTTAAAAAAAATGAAAAAACCAACAAAAATTTGAAAAATTGAAGAAAAAAACTCGCTATAAAATCTAGTAATGTTTTAAAAAGGAATGAAAGTAATATATTTTAAATAATTTGATATTTTTTTATCTTTTGTTAAGTTTATTTTTTAAATGTGAAATATTTTAAAAAAAAATGAAAGTAATTTATTTAGAAAACATTTAGTATATTTTTTAAACAAATCTTAAATATTTTTTAAATTTTTAAATAAATTATTTTTATTTACTAATTTTATAAAAAATATAATGAAATAAATAAATAAATAATGGGAGCCATTATGATCACTAATGACCCCCAATTTTTTAAAACAATGAAAAAACACCCAAAAAATAAGTTAAAAAAAATCCTTATATCCTTATAGCCTACAAGAAA